ACGATATGATACAGTCTTGTTGCTTGCCGAAGGAAAAATCAAGGGAAAATGGACTGGTGCCGCGCCAAACCCATTCCGTGACACGCCCCAATCATCCACAGCGAACAAGACTGTAGGAATGGGATCATTAATTCCACATTCAGATTTGCGCTGTTCTGTAGAATATTCGAGCTTGCATTGGCTATCTGACTTTTCTAAGGTATTTGATAACATGTAGTGCACGACGCAGAAATGCACTAAATTTATGTAGGGGCGAAGATACTAGGGAAGGGGTTTATGAACGCATATGTCAGAGGCACACTGTATGATGACCTGTAATGTACCTAGCTACAGAAAAGTACCCCTTTCAGCAGTAAAAAGTCCGCTGAAATGAAACTGAAGTGTTGTTAATTCAATCTTTTTATTTTTCTGCCCGCTATTCGATTCGACACGTTGCTAGCATTTTGCCAAAAAGTTCGTAGCGGGATGTGGACTACCGAGGTCCCGGAACGTGTTTGCTCCTTGCTGGAGAGGACACTGGCCCCTATTTATACGTGAGAGGGCGCAGACAAGTAGCGCGTATGGCTCTGGTTGAGTATGGCTAGGCGTGGGACGTGTTGCGTGTCCGTGGTTCGCTCGTTGCGTGATGAATTGTATGCAGAGTTATAAAGAAGACTAGCTATCACAAACCATCAGCTTCATTTCCGCGCAATTCCTAGTGGCGAACGTGGCTCTCTTGTACAGTTACGATCCTGCTATCTCGTAGGTAATCGTGCAATGTGTCGATAGACCTGTTTGTACTATTCAAGTTTACTGTAACTTTTCAGGCAACATTGAAATTCAGTCCATATCACAGACATCTACGGTTCAAAATCATGCAAACGGATCAAGTATGTTTGGTTTTTAGTGTTGTTGATAAGTTTGTTTTAAAGAAATATAGACGCTATTCTAGCCTCTTCTTCACAAAATGGTGAAGTTGTTCATAAAAACGAAAAAACAACAATACAGTTCAAGGGGTCGATTACGACTAATCTTCCGGTCAACCTCACGTCCGGTGTGAGTTCACCAGGTGTGCCATGATTTGCAGCTTTCTGAAAAGTTTGATCTATTGATTGATTTCTTTACAACATCTCCTTTCTTTCTAAGGTTTGTCGGCTTCGATGTTCCAGTTTTCGCCAATGGTTGAACATTTCTTGCAGTCTTTGTCGAAGGCATGTTTCGTTGAAGTCTAGATATTAATAACTTTCCATTTATAAATTGTTCGCTGCTTAAGATCGCTTGAGGCAGTTGAAATATGCTTGACGAGTTCCGGACCCCGTGGCATACAAGCGCAGTCATACATATTTCTTTTAGCGGCGTTTCCTTATTTGTGACCTTCCTGTTCCAAACTTGTCAAAACACATTTTCGGTCATGCAAGGCACATATTTCATGTAAAACTAAAAAGCAGTTGGAATTAATGATTAACTGTGATGAAAACGAAATTGATGAAATGGTGTGGGTATACCCAGTACCAGTACCGCTGTCCACAATGTGCTAATAGTGGGCAGCGCAGTGCTTCTTCGGGTGCTTCCCCATGACCTAGTTGGCCTTATCCGTATACTACCGGAAACGCCATATTGTAGAAACGGTTTTGACTCCATCCGGCAGCTTTCGATCGCTATACTATAGACTCCTGCTCCGTGCATTGACTGTAGAGTTGAGAAAACGTGCACTTGTTATTTGCCTGCACATGATCGTATGCTTCTATAACGCATATGAGACTTTTCCTGTTCGTCTCT